TAGTGACTCAACCACAGCACCAATCACCCATTCAGATTGCAAGCCAAGCAAAGGTCACGTTCACATTGCACATGTGAGAAGAAAGAGACAAAAGAGATAGCGATGAACATTTTAATAGAGATTAGGTAGTGGAAAACAATTGAATTTACTATAAATGTGTGCAGCAGACAGCAGGCAAGTCCTCAAAACACGGATAAGAGTTAAAAATGCTTTTACATTAAGCAATCAGAATGCAGAAAGGAAAAAAGCCTAAAAAACAAACACAAAAGGTTACATTATGCTCAAGTTATTTGTGAGGAATAAAGAAAAAGTAAAGGGTGTTCGAGATTGGCAGAGAGTTCGGCGGGAGTGGGAGCTTGATTCCCTTCAATTCTGCAGTTAAAAGAAAAAGGATTAGTTTAAAACTTAAACTAATAATTGTGGCATTAAAAAATCATCCACCACTAAAAGCCATTTTCTTTAATTCAAGTCCGAAAACTACTTTGCCAAAACAGTCAAACTTTGTTGTAGAAAGCCATAGCAGAGTGTAGTTTGGGGTCAGAGAAACGAATCATTCCTCACGTTCGCTACCATATCTTAATTTGTATTTTATTATTATTATTATATTATTACATCATGATCATCCCTTTGGTTTCTAGTTTCCGGTTCTCTTTTATTTTAGTTGTGTTACATTATTCTTCTTACATTCTCGGTTTCGAGAAAGGTCTGTGTCTGATCCTACATGATTTGAGACATTTATGTGGGTCCAACTAAGGGTTCATAATACGTATCGTTGATTATGTGTGATTCTATTACAAAATAAGAGTCACAAGTGTATCAAGATAGTTGTTAGCATTTCTTTAAGCCAAAAAAATATTTTCTAATTTCATTCTAGAATTTGTCATATATATACTAACAGACTATCTATTTAGTGCGTATACTCGGATTCTGCCTGAGTACATAAATTTAGATTCTTTCTTTTCATACTATAATCTATGTAATAATTAAAGAGAGTGAAAACGGTGCTTCCATGTGAGGGCCAAACATATAAAATGAGATTGCATGCACGTGGCGTTTTGGGAGATCTACTCAGTGTAAAAATGATCCATCACAACAGCACGTGACTTCACAACAAGTGCTCTGTTTCCACGTGCCATTTCAGGCACAACACCAAGAGGGCGGTGGAAGTTGTGCTTAGAGTGAATTATACGTGATGTTAGTGCCATTGTCATCAACCTCTTGCACTTTCTATGTATATCCTTCTATAATAATGATTCCCTTTCAAAGTTCTGTTGTTTCTAACTCACTATCGATTCTTAGCTTAATATTATATGTCCTATTATTGGACTTTATTACTTTATTTGAAAAATAACAAATATCGTTCCACGTAGAACCAGTGTCCTGTGTTTACTCTTGTACACTTCAAAATAAAATTTATTTATGAAACGTGTTGCAAGTTACATCTCTCAAGTGCAAATGACACCAAGTATTTATATCTTTTTCATACCAGTGTGCATGCTTCCAAATTTAGCTCCCACACTGAAATTGTCACCAATTTGATAATAGACAGAAGTTGTGTCATGACGGGTCCAATACTCGGCCCATATACGGCTCCTAATAAAAAACATTACCGTTTTGCAGTAAAGCCCGGTAGCTCCTCTCCTCACAGTACACTATAGCATCTATATGGATCAGTTCATATGCTTGATACAGTTATAATGAAGAAGAAATATAAGTTTGATAAAAATATAGCAGGCTTATGCATATAATGTAACACTACGATGCATCGTAATTACTGTGAACATACTCAGGCAGAATTGATGTGGTCATAAGCAATAGTTTCATAAATGACAACTTCAATAAGATTTTTAATGGTCAACATGCAGAGTCGGAATTCGAGTCGACAAAATTTGTATGGCACGAGAAATTCATGTTAAGCATTTTTACCTACATGCTATGCATCAGGTTTTTTTTTTTTTTTTTCCTTTCAATTTTTACTTGTTTTACCAGATTTTGATTTTTACAAGTAATTGTTCTCAAGGCCAATTTAGCAATTTATTTGGATTGGACGCTACTGGTCCAATGATTTTCCCCTCTAACTAGCCCGGTATAGTTTTCAACAACAAAAGTCATATCTAACTAAATAAAATCGGCTACATCGATTACCTAAAACTAATCGACTCGGTTAAAGACAGAATCTTCAAAGATATTAGTATTCATTATGAGATCTTATAACAACTCCCATGAATACCTTGGTCTCCCTTTTCATCAGACAAAATCATACAATATACTCTCCTTAGTGTTTAGAGTAACCTTTGTACATGTCTAAACTCCTTAATAGTGTGTTTGGATGAAAAATTTATATAGGGTAATTCATTTATTTAAAAATTTTCAAATTTCTTGAGGTGAAATATTTTGTTTGGATGAAGAATTTACAAAGAATTTGAAATCCAAGCATTTGTGAAATTTCTTAAAATAATAGAATTTTAAATTCTCCTATAAATGGGAGAATTTGAAATTCCTCATTTATTTTTCTTATTTCACCTATATATTTTATCTTATCTCTTCATTCTTTTAATTATTGGATATTCAAAAATATTTTTAAAATTGTTAAACATTATCTAATATTAATTTTTAAAATTATTAAATATTATCTAATATTAATTTTTAAAATTATTAAATATTTAAAAATGGATTAATATTTATTTTTATAAAATTTAATTTCAAAATCTTAACATATAAATATATTTTTAAAATCAATTTTTATTATAATGGAATAAAATTATCATATTCAACCTAACAATTTAAAATTTAAGAAATTTGAATTGACTCATCCAAACAAAATATTTCAAAAATAATAGAAATTAAAATTAAAATAATTCAAATACCAAGAATTTAAAATTCCTTGAATTTGTAAAATTTCTCATCCAAACATACTATAACCGATTTCTGTCAATTTTTTCAAAAATTAGTGTCAAACCAATATCTCTTAATCATGTGAGAAAATCATGTTAGGTGAAATATAACAAGGAAAGAGATTCACAAATGATTGTCAAGTAGTATTAAACAATCTATGACATAATCGTTCAAAACATCAATGTAACCTTGGGTGTTATCCCATAACTGGTTTAAATAATAATATGTAAGACAATGTTCTTTGCTCCGTTTTTCTTCTCTCTTTTTTTCTTTCATTCATTTTTTTATTTGAAAAAAGAAAGGTATAGAAGTTTCATCAATTATTCATACATAACATTTCTCAAATAATTCCATTGCTTAACTGCTCCATTCATAATCTAAAGAATGACGAGATTTCATGTTAACAAATGTATAATGGTAGCAAACAAAATTATGTAAATATATCTCATAAACACAAAATAGATAACTAAGGGCTATGATTAATATATAGAGAAGATCCGTTTATACCATACAAATTTAAAGACTAGCACTAAATCTAATCTATTAACATAAACGAATTATACAATTTATTTTATATATATATATATATA